GGGCCGGATCGCCAAGAATTTCCCGCCAGGAATGAACGGTACTCATTCAGAAATCGTCAATTACGTCCGCACACAAACCATGCACTATGTACTGTGTACCGTGTATTGTATATAGTGTACTGTGCGGTGGGTACTATGTACTATGTACTGTGTACAGAGTATCGTGTACTGTGTACTGTGTATAGTGTACGGTGTATCGAGTACTTTGTACTGTGTACTGTGTATCGTGTACTGTGTATCGTGTACTGAGTACTATGTACTGTGTATCATGCACTGTGTATCGTGTACTGTGTATCGTGTACTGTGTACTGTGTATCGTGTACTGTGTACTGTGTACCGTGTACTGTGTATCGTGTACTGTGTACCGTGTACTGTGTACCGTGTACTGTGTACCGCGTATCGTGTACTGTGTACCGTGTACCGTGTACTGTGTACTGTGAATCGTGTACCGTGTACTGTGAATCGTGTACAGTGTACCGTGTACCGTGTACTATGTACCGTGTACCGACCACATCTCACTGCCTTTGGTCGAAACGAGGAAATCGGTGCACTCCTTGCACAAAAGATCACTTCTTAACAAGTTACCTACATACATGTATCTGCCTACTTATTACCTACTTACCTACCTGTCTAATTACCCATTCAACCTATCCACCAGTCTGCCATTAGACCGACCTACTAATTTACCTGCCTGCCTTCCTATCTATCTATCAACTACATATCTAACCATACATACCCATCCACCCCATCCACCAACCTACCTACCAAACCACCCACCCACCTACCTACTTACATACCAACCTACATACCTTTCTACTCACAGCCTACCCACCTACCTACTTATCAATCCACAGCCTACCTACCTACTTAACCATAAATCCGTTTACCCACCTTCCACCACCAACACAAAGCGTCTTCCACCCCCCCTTTCAACCCATCTAGCCTCACTTCCCCGCAATCAATGGAGTGAGTCTACCAGTCTGTCTGCAGATTTGTGCGTGTGTACACCTCCATATGGAGGACATTATCACCATCTTGCAACATCCT